TTGCTATAGATATAACTAACACGTCTTAAAGTGAAAAATGTTAGTCTAATCATTTCCCTGGTCTACAATCTAAAACAATCAATCTAACTCACATTTTTACAGTATTGTCATAATCATGCAGTTTAAAACTGAAGAGTAAATATCAACTTTTAGCCTTACACTGTGTTCCTTTTACTTGGAAACTCATCTGTAATTATGACAACAAAAACATGCCTATTTACTTTAGAAAACAGAAATAGCAAAACTCACATCTCAAATTTTCTTTGTGAGGCAGTTCTCATACAGTTGATGTTCTGTTTTAAAATAATACAATTTAAGTGCTTTAAATATCTCACATTTATAATGGTTTAAGCCATGGTATATCTCATAAGTAAGATTTTGCTGTAATTCATTGTTTGTTATATAAAAGCTTGATCAAGTTAGAAAATTTTCTTGAGTCTGTATTCTACCCAGATCAATAAAAAATCTTTAAGATTATTCTATGAGCCCTGGCTGGTGGGGCTCAGTGAATTGAGTGCCGGCTTGAAAACGAAAGAGTCGCCGGTTCAATTCCCAGTCAGTGCACATGCCTGGGTTGTGGGACAGGTCCCCCGTAGGGGGGGCACAAGAGGCACATTGATGTTTTTCTTCTCTTTCTCTCTCCCTTCCCTTCTCTCTAAAAATAAATAAATAAAATGTTTTTTTAGAAAAGATTTTTCTATGATATAATAAGGGGGCTCAATCTAAGGAAAAACTAGAGATCTAGAAATCAAAAAACAAAAACAATTCAAGTGATTAAGTTTTGGGTAAATCCTTCTTGTGCCAATAGCTTCAAAAATACTACAATGTTAGAGCTGAAAGAGACCTTGGCAGGCATCTGTCCAATCAACTCATTTCTCCTTCAGAAAAATTGGAGTTATGGTATTATAGTATCATTTCCTCTTTTCTCTCAGGTATTTGAAGAAAAGTAAAGACATAATAATTAATGACATCTGTGTATTACTTAATACTGATAGTTTACAAAGCATTTCTTCATTCATTATTTCAATTGATCCTCACAAAAATTCTGTATAGTAAGCACAACAGTCACTATTACTTGGGTATTGTATTATTTTACAGAAGATAAAACTATGCCTCATAGAAACTAAACAAATTTTTCCCAATTTGGCATGGCTAACAAATAGAGAATTTGAACCCAAGTTGTCTGGTACTCTTTCCACCACTTATGCTGCCTCCCTATAGAAGACGTGGCAAGTGAGGACAGACTTAAATTCTTTGAATGAAACATGATTATAAATGCAATGCATCACTACCTTACTGTTTTAGAACTCTTAAAAATGGTATTGTATATTATTTTAGTTAAAGCTGAAACATAAAGCTTTATGTTTTATGAATCAGTAGTGACTGACTGGTACAGAAAAATATTAGGGACAGATGTGGGGGGTTTATTTTGTATTTTGCTTTTGCATTTTAAGAAAGAACTGGTCTTGTCCTGTACATCCACATTGTTACAAAATTCCAATTGTGTTATTACTTTTTATAACTTTTTTATCAACATACAAATTTCATACTTTGACTTGACTAATATCATTTTTATATTTCAAATACTTGATTTTTTATTACTATGTAGCAAAAGAACATAGAAGAGCACCAATGTTTATCTACAAACCACAGAGCAAAAAAGTTTTTGAGGGAGACTCAGTAAAGCTAGAATGCCAAATCTCAGCTGTACCTCCACCAAAACTTTTCTGGAAAAGAAATAATGAAATGGTACAATTCAACACTGATCGAATAAGGTAGGATAAGTATTTCTAGACTTACCTATAGTTTAGTTTGGTGAATCCAGTTACACTTTGAAATGCATTATAAATGGCATGCATCTGTGATCTCGATTTGTCTTGTTTTTTTTTTTAATTTTTTATTTATTTATTTTTAGAGAGGGAAGGGAGAGAGAAAGAGAGAAAGAGAGAGAGAGAGAGAGAAACATCAATGTGCGGTTGCTGGGGGCCGTGGCCTGCAACCCAGGCATGTGCCCTGACTGGGAATCGAACCTGTGATGCTTTGGTTTACAGCCCGCACTCAATCCACTGAGCTACACCAGCCAGGATTTGTCTTGTTTTTAAAACATATACAGAAATATCATAAACCTCATTAAGCCATAATCCATTAATCAGAAATTTCAAGCATAATGTAAGCTAGCATTTATAGTACCTTGTTACTAACAATAAACAATAAAGTAAGCTAGCATTCACCTTGTTACTAACAATAAATGAGATTTGGCAAGGGGATGTTTAATTCAAGAAAACCAATAGCTATTTGGCAATAATTAAATACAGTCTCAGAATTTCCATATGTTTCTTTTTCTTAATAGTCTATGTAGATTGGGGCATCATAAAATACTTTCACAGGAAAATTAATTCCTACACTTTCATTTTATAATTGTTTATTTTCAGCTTATATCATGATAACTCTGGAAGAGTTACCTTACTGATAAAAGATGTAAACAAGAAAGATGCTGGGTGGTATACAGTGTCTGCAGTTAATGAAGCTGGAGTGACCACATGTAACACAAGATTAGATGTTACACGTAAGTCTCATTGTTATAAAGGGATATGTCAAGTGCTATAAAGGATTTAAGATTTAATAAGAAACACAAATCCTGGCAAAGCACAAAATCTGCAGGATTTTCCCAATACATAATCAGTTTTGATATTTTTCTTTTCCTGTTTGATAATGAATATCTCATGCAACCCATTTGTTTACATTTTCTGAATTGACTTTTATTTGATTTATTTCAGCCCGTCCAAACCAAACTCTTCCAGCTCCTAAGCAGTTACGTGTTCGGCCAACTTTTAGCAAATATTTAGCACTTAACGGAAAAGGTTTGGATGTGAAACAAGCTTTTAACCCTGAAGGAGAGTTTCAGCGTCTGGCAGCTCAATCTGGACTCTATGAAAGTGAAGAACTTTAACAAATTTACCAACATTGGAAAACACAACTACACTATTAGTAATATATTCAATTGAATTTTTAAAATAAATCCATAGCTGTATTAACAGATTATGGCTTTCATTAGGTAATATAACTAATATATATTTATACTATTATTTATCCTTTGACTCTTGCACATTCTATCTACATCTCTAGTTTGTGAAGCCAACACAAAATTTGGGTACGTGGGTTTGTAATTGTAGAAAACTATCTTAAAATGTGGGATTTTAACATTTAAGTCATACACATTTAACAACTACAGGTTATGAATTAATATCAACTTTTTAGACACACCTAATGCTTATAGTAAGATTTACTGGTACTGCTTTCCAGTGTTCTACCCATTTTCTCTTATAGGAATACTAACATGATATAGATTATTTGAGTGTTCCACAGTTTTATGTCAAAAGACAATAAAATTTCAATTATTTAAAACAGATTGTCTTCTCTTCACAAAAGTCTAGATCATTAACATAAAGCTTCCGGATTTTATTTATGAAATGACTAGTAAACCCTATGGATAACAAGTTCCAAAACAGCAACGATATTACATTCTAGAGCATGAGTACATGCTCGTGGTAAAACTCAAGGCTGTCAATTCCTCCTGAAACTGAGCTCCATTTTCCAAGGTTTACACTTCAAAGGCATGAGGAAATCTCTTCTGAAATTTGGATTTTGTTTCAACCGAACAGATCTCGAATTCTTCAACATCTTTGAGACTACTGAGCTCAATGGAATAAGAATAGTCTGTAGAGTCATCTGCTTAATTCTTATATTTAATGTAAAACCGAAAAGCTCTATTTTGCTGTTTTTCTCCATCCTACATTTCAAGTTCCCGTATCCTGTTACATTACAAAGCATCATTTAGCATGTAAGCATCTGAGAGTCTACGCTCAGGAAAGGGAAAATCCTTTCATTAAACTGCTCTAACCTCGGACAGCAGCACCCTTTTCTTTCCCTCACGCCCCTGTCCACCGCCGTCAGCCTAGCGCGGGGCCTCTCCTGCTCCTTTCAGCTTTGGTCGCCTCTGACTCTCCCTGCTGTGTGGCCTAGTTTTGCTTTTTATCTGCGCACAAAACAGCATTTATAAACATCAGTCTACATCTCTTTCAGGGAAATAACAAAAGTCGCCTTTATTTTTTCCTTTCAAAACAGCTTGATGGTTTTCTTTGCTGGCTGCTCTGGGGTCTTTGGACTGATTTCCGTCTTATTTTCCTTTCACCAACGTGAGAATTCCTTCTGTCTCACATCCGGGAGGGTTTTGGATGCCTTAATGTACAGCCAGATTTGTTTGGTCTTCCTTTTCTGCAGCTGGTTCACAAATCTCCTTCTCATCTTTGCAAAGCTTCAGAACCAGATGCGCATCTGGGCTCCAAAGGACTAGTGTTTTGGCCTACCCTTCACATATTCACTAAAGAGCTGGGTTTAAAAAAGAAAAAGAAAACTATTTTAACGCTCCCTTTAGCCACACTGGAAAGAAAGAAGAGTGGAAGCTATTTCTAACATCTCTCGATTAATAACCAGTTTCTACAAGAGCAGCGGCAGCCTGGGTCTTGGTCGGGCCCTGGGGCCCTGGCGTCCAGTGGACCTTGCCCAACAAGCCGTAGTCTCTGGTAAATTATCGATCCTCTCAGCACCCTCGGTTTCTTCAGAACTAAAATGAGGACAAAACACCTACCTTTCAAGAAGGGGGGTGTCAAGACCAAACAAGCCAATAAATATTAAAAGTATTCAAGAAAGAGTATCCCGTTATAATTAATTACTACTATCTTATCATTAATCTCAGGCCCCAAACCAGGCTTCCCCCTCCTGAGATGTCTAGCTTCCTCAGGAGACAAACGCCGTAATCCCCGGCCCCGCCTCAGGCGAAGCCCTTCCAGAAGGTCCTCGGTGCGCACGCTCTCCTGCAACAGGTAGCGCAGTTTGCGCCCCTCGAGGAGCTGGAAGCTCGCGCAAGCGCGTGAGCTAGGCGGCTCGCGCAGGCGCAGCTGTCCTGGGGAGGTTGAACTGGCGTCCCGTCCAGGTCCGCCATGGCTGAGGCGTCCCGTTGGCACCGAGGCGGTGAGGGGTGCTCCCAAACTGGGTGGGACAAAACGGACTTGTCAGTTCCGCAAAGAGGGGACGCTGTAGCCCCATATCTGTTCATGTGAGAGATGACCTCCAGCACGTTTATCCTTCTCCGCCTCCCCTTACGCGGGGAAGGACGGTGATCCCATTTTACGTATTGGAAACCCGGAGCTCTGTAGGGATGTGGCACTCGCTCCTCGCCCTGAACTCGAGCTGGGCGCTGGCATTTGCTGTGCAATGACCGTGGGTAGACCAGTCTCCGAAGTCCTTTGTTGATGTAGGGAGACGTAACTTTGACCGACCCCAAGCCTAGTTCTTTTTCCCCTCCAGGCTTCCCAAGAATCAGAAGTGACTGGCAGAGAAAACGATAAGGGACAGGTGTGGTGGGTTTGTTTTGTATTTTGCTTTTTTCATTTTAAGACAGAACCGGTCCTGTACACCCACGTTAAGTTATAAAATTCATTAGTATGCAGTCACAAAATGACTACCCACTTACCCCAATGGGAAAATGTTAGTAATTAATTTTGCTTCATAAAAATAAGAATCAAAAAATAATCATAAGCCACTGATCCTGATTCACACAGTGTAACACTAAAAGTGGCTGTTTTTCCATCATTGTTACTTATACTTATTATGAATTACACAATAATGTAAGGAAATGTTTGTTTTATATCTCACAGGGATTCCAAAACATAAGCTGCCTTTCAGAGAGGAAGAAATTAGAACGACACCTCAGGAGTTACTATTCTATATTATTTTTTTAATAATCCTATGTATATGTAAGTACACAGATATAGATGAAAATGTTTAAACTAAAATTATATGGAGATGAGAAATAAAAAGTGGACTTAATAAACCCATAGGCTTTCAGTATACTGACATCTCAAAAACTAGTGACGCATTTCAGACATGATCTTAAATTCATATAGACTGACAGTTTCCAATTCTTAAGGGACAAATCTTGACATCACAGATTTAAGGTACAGCTTTCATAGTCAACATTGATTGAATTAATTATTCCTTTGGGTTGGCCATTCTATCTTGAATATAAATTATTCCCTTGAGTTGGCAAGTCTCACTTGATTTCTTTTAGAGCCATATAGGTACATTAGCTCAGTTTCATAGGTCAAACCACAAATGAGGCCAAAGAAGTTAGTCTTAGTTTCAGCTTTATTCTCTTCCCTATTCTGTTGCACAACTGTAAAATATGCTTGTGCTGAGTCACAGAACACATATAGGTCAATGCAGATCTTTTAAGGACTGGGAAAACCTGCATTCCTCCTATCTTTGGGTCAAGAGCATTGACTTATCAGTATTAAAGAGCATTTTGTCTTTGAAGTGCCCAACATACAGTAGATGTAAACTTACTGGCCAGACTTACACCTCATTTTGATGTGGACTACATACTGGCAATCATGTATCAATTAATTGCTTTGTAAAGGTGAACTTGTGTTGGGTCTGAATTACAAAGACAACTGTAGCCAATCTCATAAATTAAGATAGACTACTCTTTAAATACTACAGAACATTTAGGGAATTGAAAAATATAAAAAGAACATAATCCCATTATTCAGGGATCAAAAATACTTTTTCATAATAAAAAGAATTGAAAACCTAAATCTCCAAGAACAGAGGATTTAACATTGTGTACAGTGAAATAATGCAACATTAAAGAGTGGCATAGGCTCGTGTGTCATGGATTGATGTTGAAGGTACATGGTTTGTACAAACTAAAGGGCTTCTAGCAAAAAAGAAAAAAAAAATTTAGTGTACACTTAACTCTAAAACTGATCCACCCACCCCTAGAAAGTGATAGAATACTTTTAAGAGCTGTTAAAATTCTTGTATGCCATAACATAGTTCCACATGCATTATTTCACTTTTCATAACAAAACTGAGATACTCAAACTGTTATCTGTTTGTATTAAAAGTCCATCATCTTAACTACTCACCATAATATATTGCCTACTCTCGATATGAAAAAAAGAATCAACTTGCAGAATATGTGTAATGTGATCACATTTTTGTAAAAAAAGTTATTTTCTGTAGAATGTAGGCCAAATCTAACTCTAGCTGTGGAATTACAGGAATCTTCCTGTTTTATATATTTCTATTTTAGTTATTGTAACTTTTATAATTAGACAAAAAGAATTGAATTTCAAAACAAAATTTGGAACAAAATTAATTACATATTTAATCCTAATAAACTCAGTTTTTAAACATAAAATTTTATACCAAAAAATTCTTCTCCTTAGTGACATTTGGAATGACAAACCCACACATGTATTACTTAAACAAAGTTATGTCATCTCTGTTTTTGGACACTTCTGTGCCTGGTGATGAAAGAAGCAACTTTAAGTCTATTTGCAGGACAGCTGATTTTTGGAAGGTAATGTATCATGTGACTGTGGATAAACTAGCTTTAGGGATTGTACAAATCCTTGGCACATGTAGTAGGCACTTGATACATGTCTATTGAAGGGATGAGTAAAAGTGAAATAATTTCTTTATATTAGAATCAACCAACCAGTGTTTTTTGAGGACCCATGTTCTCAATGTGATCAAGTTCTTATAACTTTAAAAAAACGAACATTATTTACTGTATTTGGAAAATAAAAAACTTGCTTCTTATGTGGAAGGTTAGGATCCAGAGTCAGTCTATAATCATGTATAGTGAAAATTATTCCTAAGAAATGTTTAAATTGTTCCTAAAGTGAAATATTTGTGTTTTAGGTATACCAAACAACGCTGTACTGTGTGTTACAGTAATGTAGAGTATATAATAAAGAGTACCTATATGAAACATAATTTTATAGTGTTTTTAATTGCATAAGAGAATCATTCCTTCAACATTGGAACAGCCTTGTTTATTCCATTACACTCAGCAAGATGCTTACACTGTGAAGGAAGAACAATTAAGGAAAACGGCAGTTTTGGGTATCCCACATCACGACCATTATAGAATGCCTAGAAGAGGTAGGGAAGGCTTTCCAGAGGTGATGACAACTCAGCTGAGTTGTAAGGGATGAGTAATAGATGGACATCAGAGGAAGAATAAACAATGTGTTCTGTAGGTAATTCCACATATGGAGTTATGTTTGACATTACAGCATATAAAATGCCAAACTACGAATTAGTTCAAATCATGAATACCATGCTAGGAATTTGGAACTTATGGAGGAGACAAGGGCATTATCATCATTATCATTAATATTAATGTTGGTTTGGTCACTAATTTAATTTTCATACTCATCTTCAAAATCACTGGTTTTTAGACTCCTGTCAGTAACATGAGGAATATAGGTTCTGTTATACATGACATGAAAACATTTTTCCATAATGTTTATTTTTCTATGTGAAGTTTATGGAAGGACCCCTTTTGGAAGGTCTGTACTGGGACTCACAGCACAATGACAAAAGCAGTCGCATCTACTACGAGAACATAGTTCTAGGAGTCCCCAGAGTCCGTCAACTCAAAGTCCGAAACAACACGTGCAAGGTCTATCCATCTTTTCGGCCTTTAAACATGACTGACTGTTATGCCAAATACACTTCTGAAAATGAAGACGTATCTGATTTTGGCCTTAAACATGATACTGAGTAAGTAGTATAAAATTACACATAACTTATCCTAGCAGCTTACCATTATATCTTTAAACAATTATGAAAATGTGTATGTTTTTCGAATCATACCAACAGGGGTCTTGTGTCAATATTAGTATCAAAGGACAACTCAGATATTGTGTTTAGCAAAGGAAGAATGAACTGTTATTTTTTGTTGTTATTTACCAAATGCTATAAAGTATTTTCATTTTTTCCTGGTATATAAAGTGTTAACTCATTGTACACAAGGCAAAGCATCTAGTTTTGCTCTTACACTAGCAGTGAGCTCTTCTGGCTTTGGCCAGACTCACCTCAAACACATCCCAAATGCTCCTTGGGATCTCTAAGGAGTATCCTAGGTGTCTTAGGCAATTTTCCTCCTTTCTCATTCTGACTTACCTCAGTGATCTCTCTATTGCTGCCATTGTTAAAAGGGACAGTACTTCTCTGCAGGCAGCAGTGCATCTGATGACACCTGCCAAAGGCATTATGGCCACTGTTCTCCAAAACAGCTGGTGTAGAGTTCTAGTTACACATTATATTAAAAATACAAAAGCTCAAAGCCACTGACATGACCTTCCCTTAGCACAGAAACTGCTCGCATTATTGCTTTTAGGGTCCTATGAAACCTTAAAGGGCAGATAATAAATCTTTTTTAAATATCAGAAATAAAAATATTTACAAAGGTTCACCGTGTCCTACTCACAACTCCCACTCCAGAAGCACTTTTACTTCTTTTGCTCTTCTGATATATGTTTCCTATTTCTTTTTTAAATTTTATTTATTTTAGAGAGAATGGGGTGGGGAAGAAACATCAATTTGTTGTTCCACCCATTTATGCATTCATTGGTTGACTCTTGTATGTGCCCGGATAGGCGATCAAACCTACAACCTTGGCACATTGGGACAACGCTCTAACCAACTGAGCCACCTGACCTGGGTACTTCCTATGTCTATATAACATGCTTATACTGCTATTACTTGATCTTAGTTTATGTATCATCTCTGTCATGGAAGGTGACTGGCATTTGACCCTCTTATACCACTCCCTCTATTACACATACCTCTTATTCCTCTTAGTCTGTAGTTATACCATTAGTTACTTATGAATCAGTTTATACTATAAATATTAACAATGATTATATCTCCTTTCTTGAACAACCTCCCCTGTAATCCCAAGATTATGCCCACATTGCTTTGTAGTTTTTGTTGACTTCTCTTTGTGTGTGTTTTGGGTGTTCTTCAGGACAATAGAGAATGCTTGTATAATTCTTATAAATCTAATAAATTCACAAAGATGGTGACATTACCTTAAACACTACAGTACTATATACTGTTTCCCTTTCAATGAAAAATTACAGGATAAATTATTTAAGTACAAATTTTAAATTGGAATTTGAAAACTCATATTAGGTATTCAATATTCCAAATTCTCATAACTACAAATAATTTAAATACCAAAATTAACACTATGAATTTAGAATTATAGTAACTTTCATTCCCTAACAACCAAAGTAAAAATCAATTTGTACTTATCTACCCAAAATGTAACATTCATTAATTAAAAACATTTAAAATTGGAAGTAGGATAGTGTTGGTGTAACAAATGTTCTTGTTTCAATTTAACAATCGTGAAAAAGACTCAAAAATACAACTATATGCCCTGGCTGGTGTAGCTCAGTGGATTGAGCTCAGGCTGCGAACCAAAGCATCGCAGGTTCAATTCCCAGTCAGGGCACATGCCTGGGTTGTAGACCACGGCCCCCAGCAACCACACATGGATGTTTTCTCTCTCTCTCTCTCTCTCTTTCTCTCTCTTTCTCTCTCTCTCTTTCTCCCTCCCTTCCCTCTCTAAAAATAAAAAAATAAAATCTTTTTAAAAATACAACTATAGAATTTTCATTAAATATGAGTATTTTTTCTTGGTGGTGTCACTTTCCCCCCACTGCTGTCAACAATCATGGTATTGTAATAAATGCAAACCGAGTATGTCTCTGGGTGATTGCTCGGTCTGTTTTGGGAACACAGAATGACTAAAATGAGGAATCAAGGTTTTTTTTGTGATACACCAAAATTAAGATAAAAGTAGACAAAATGGAAGCAAAGTTTAATTATGCACATTTTGCTTTATGTACTTTCATTAAAACAAGATACCTATATAACATATGTACGTTATAACAAAGGTTCTATTTACTGGACATTATATAAATGGTGTATGACCTTTGGAAGACACACTATGAAGCACTTTTTTCCCCACACTGAGACAGAGCTTTCTTAATCAAAACTCTTGGTCTTGTTCTAGTTAAAGGGTTAAGATCTAATAAAACAATAGGGACAAAATGTCAAAGAACAAAATCAGTAATTTTCTAGATTTTAAGCTGAGTCAAAAATAGATTAAAATTTTTTTTTTCTCATAGCAGGTTGTCCAGTGTCTTGTCCACAATAACCACTTAAAAAAACATATACCTTAATTCTTTTAACTTCATCCTTAACTCATTGTCTTGCTTCAAAATTACTCTAATACTTATGAACTTAGTACCACTTTTTTTAACTGCTACTTTTGAATGAAAGTTTAGCTGAAATTCTTAGACTACTTCTCAGTCAGTCTTCTCATCTCTCCATTATTCTTTTTCTATCTAACAGATGGAAGTACTCTGCTCCTAGTACCAACTCCCCGTGGCACCAGGGATTTGTTGGTGTTTACCGCAATGGGGGATATCTTTTCACTTTATCAAAATCAAAATCTGAAACCAAAACCAAGTTAACTAAACTTCAACAGAACAGCTGGATCACAAGAGGAACTCGAGTTGTTTTTACTGACTTTTCATTATACAATGCTAATGTAAACCTGTTTTGCATCATCAGGTGAGTGACCTGAAACCTTTATTATATAGGCATTCTAAAAAGCATCCAGAGCCCTCATTAGGGTCTCCAATTTTTACTGAGATTAAAATTAAAACCGTGAGCTCTGGCTGGTGTGGCTTAGTGGACTGAGTGCTGTGCTGGCCTGCAAACCAAAAGGTTGCTGGCTCTATTCCCAGTCAGGGCACATTGCCTGGGTTTCAGGCCAGGTCCCCAGTAGGGGGCATGTGAGAGGCAACTGATAGCACATTGATGTTTCCCTCACTTCTTCCTTCCCTTCCCCTCTCTCTAAAAAATAAAATCTTTAAAAATAAAATTAAAAGCTTCAAGATAAATAAAATGTAGTTCTGCTAATAATGAAAAAGAAGATAAAGCAACATCATATTCAGGTTCATTATTTCAGAATATTCTCAAGAACAATGTTAGTTTTATATTACTAGAGGATATATAGTCTTATTTCTTGTCATTCTACAATTGCAGTGATCTAACAGTCTTGCTTATTTCTTTTATTCAGATAATTCGAATCTGTTAACTTTCAGAATGAGCTTTATTATTGTGTCAAGAATGAGCACTTTTTATTTTGAACAATATTTAACAGTAGCCAGCACCCTAGAAATGATACAACAGGTGGTGATTTGCAAAAAATGGCCTCAATAATTCAATCGTTGCCATGTGACCTGGCAAGGGCCCTGCCACCCAGCACAGGGCGTAATGCCCCAGCCCTCAATGCTTGAACTCAACCATTTGATTTGCTTTGATCAAGGGAATGCTGGCACATATGATACAAGCAGAAGTTTGAAACAAGTTTATATATTAAAACTTGCTCTCTTACACCTCTGCCATTGCAGTAGGACATGCCCATGCTAACTCATTTAATCCACCAGAAGGAAGAGAGACATCCTATCATAGAGAAGAACCAACCAAAGAGAAAAAATTCTTTCCTTTTAGTCCAATTACCTTAGGTCATCTACCTAACCTGGACCATGCTAATTGGTTTAAGCCTGGGTTCTAGAAATCAAACTCTGACAAAGGAAATAGGATTACCATTCTTGGACCTGTCTGTAGGTTGAATTAGTTTCCTCTAAGTGATCTGGGAATGGCTGGGTACCTGAGGTAATCAGAGTTCTGTTAACAAGAAATCACGGAATAACAAATGCTAGAGAGGCAAACAGTAACGTCCACTGCCTTCTCAGTGAGTCACTTTTCCCTCGTGAGCCTCACACTTGTACTCTGAGTGGGATATAGAACTGGTGTTTACTCTGATTAGGGGACTCTAACCTTGTGTAATAGTTACAGTGAAACACAGCCATGGCCTTTACAATTTGTAAAAATGAATAAAACAAGAAAACAAGTAAATTACTTTAAGCAGCCAGTGGATATTATACCTATTATTTTATAGTTCTTCAAGGAATCAGAGCTTTTTACCAACATTATTCACCCTTCCCACTAGTCTGTATCAGGATAAAATGAAGAATACAAATCATTCCTATGTCCAAAATAAGAGTAGAAACATTGAGGTAACTGGCTTAAACACAAATGGAGAACTCCTTGTAATACTAGATTAAGTCCACATTTCCTTTCTCCAGGTTTTATGCTTATTGTTATCTTTTTTTTAAAGAGTTTATTTATTTACTTTTAGAGAGAGGGGAAGGGAGGGAGAGAGGGTGAGGGACATAAATGTGCAAGAATCAGTTGCCTCTCACACACCCTCAACTGAGGACATGGTCTGTGACCCAGGCATGTGCCCTGACGGGGAATTGAACCAGTGACCTCTCAGTGTGCAGGCTGGCACTCAATCCACTGAGCCACAGCAGCGAGGGCTGTTATGTTTTAAAATGTTATTTTTTAGAAATTAAAATTTTGAAACTTTTACGTGGTAGGATATCTCATCAGTAGTTGTAAGGAAGCATATTGCTTACACTAAAACTTTATCTACTTGTTTTCCTTTTTGTACATGTATCTGGGAAACTAAAATAAATGCTAGGTTTTTTTCTTTTTGCTTATTATTTTACACTTCAGATCAAAATATTAAGTTTCTTTCACTCCACTCACTTATCCAACACTGCACACCTACTATGTGTAAAGTGGAACAGACAGTTCTTTTCCATTAACTTTTTTTTTGGCAGCACCTGATTCCATAACCAGTAAGATTTGTTACTATCTTTAGGTAGGAATAATTACTTTGTGACGCTGTGACAGAAATGCTTGTTCCTTAAAGTACTACCAATTCTGAATTATCTGAAGTCGTGGAGAACACTAGAAATAGTGAACCTCAAAATCTTTGTGTTGAAATTCACTCTTGTATTTGCATATAGATCTTTGTATACAACATCCAGTGCCTGAAGTAAACTTATCATTTGTGTCCTGGCTGTTGTGACTCAGCAGACTGAGTGCCGGCCTGCAAACCGAAGGGTTGCTGGTTTGATGCCCCAGTGAGGGCACATGCCTGGGTTGCGGGCCAGGTCCAATGGGGGGCACTCAAGAGGCAACCACACATTAATGTTTCTTTCTCCCTCCCTTCCCCTGTCTAAAAATAAAATATTTTTTAAAATAAAGTAAACATTTGCTTTAGTGTAATATGTGATCTTGACATTTAGAAACAAATATCTCTGATAAGCTAGAGAGAGTGTATTTTCCTCCTCTGAAGTATTCAAGAATTATGCATTTGGGGGCAATCCTTGACTAATAACAGAAACTAACAGTATAGCATTTTCTTAAACATCATCTCATTCTTATGTGGAGATGAATTAGTATCCCCATTTATGAACAATCTAAATTCAGAATAGAATGAATGTCCAGCTAAAATCACATCTTACTCTTATTTACCTTGGTCTGTGATCACTGTAAATATTCAAAGCACAAAAAGCAGGCAGAGCCATTAAAAAGTAAATCCACTAGAAAATTTTTAAATGGGACACATGACCCCAAGGAAACATGTTTGTACAAAATAACTGATTAGCACCAATTAGCAATTTCACAATGAATTATGTACTGAAATATAAATGCCTGAAATGCAGTTACTTTCACAAATCTAATTTTACAGATTGGTGGCAGAATTCCCTGCAACTGGAGGAATACTTACTTCGTGGCAGTTTTATTCTGTGAAGCTCCTCAAATATGTTAGCTACTATGATTATGTTATTGCTTCCTGTGAAGTCATATTTTTTATTTTTCTTATTGTTTTTGCAATACAGGAAGGCAAAAAAATAAAAGAATTCAAGTCTGCCTATTTCAAAAGTATTTGGAATTGGCTAGAATTACTACTTTTGATAGTAAGTATATATTCACAAGTATGGTTGAAGGGACTCATACATGAACTCATCAATGAGGGGTGTAAAAAGTAAATTTCTATTCATCAAGACTTATTTTAAAGGTTCCAAGTAGCAATCATAAAATGAACTGTTGCAGTGCATACTAATGGTGTGCCTCTTAAAGGGAAATGACTATTTTTCCACTTGGTTGCATCCTTGGGAGAACCAGCATAAATCTAAAGAAATAGGTGATTCCATGGGCATTATGATTTATCAGATGTGCACAATACGTCTCACCTACCTCCACTTAAAAATGTATTCCTTACAGGGCCTCATACTGAAAATCTTGGATCTTTTGGGACAAGGTCCTTTAAAATATACTCCTCTATGTGACCTAAATCTGCTTTCCTCCTCATGCTGACTTGTGAATAGCCAAAAGACATGCCTCTGCAAAATACTGAAGAAGGAGGTTTGAGCAGCCATAGGGTAGCTCATGGGCAGAGAATGCCAGGATAAGGAAATAGTCCCTGAAGGAAAGTTCCAAGACTGCCTGTCCTGGTCACTAAACCATACTGAAATAAACAGAGAAGTAGGCAGGGCTGGCTGGACATCAAGAGCCTGGTTTTAGGAGCAACGAATACACTTTTCTGGCTTCTACTATCTTTTACCCCTACTGGTCAATTTAGTATATAAGGCTTGTTTCCCAAAACCAGATTGCAAGTTTATTGGAGTCAGAGAAGTGTGCCATCTACCTTCCCTGGCATCTCCAGTAATACTTATCATATGGCAGGCACAGTGTTAAATGTTTAACGATTTGAGTATCTTAGGCAAGGGAAATCAAGAAAATTTTCACGAGTTACAAGCTCGGAAACCTAGTTCTGAAATCTCCTTAAGTTAAGGGATCCAGAAGGGTTTGTTTTTGAAACTGTAAAATTTCCTCCTTGTCGTGTTACATAGGGAAATAGTGAACTTTTAGGTATCATGTGGTTAGATGGGATAGGAACCCTATATCAGAATTACATCATCACTATACACATTTGTGCTTCATGGCCCAAAGAAACAAATAGGCAGATAGATTAAAATGGCAAGATCAATGTTTTTCTACTTTATTATGTTACCTTAAACATCTATAAATTGAGGCTTACTTCCATATAAAAGCCTATGTTTAATCTCTCCCGCCCTTTTGTCGAATTTTTCATGAACTTTTTCAGGTGCTTCTTCACAGGATGCAGGGGATTTAAGAGGTAGAAATAGCCTTTAATTTAACCCTTCTTTTTTTCCCATATAGTTGTGTTTTGTGGCCATTTTCGTCAACTTACACTGTAATATACAAAATTTTCTGTTACTTGAACCGCTGTTAAAAAGTACTGAGAAATATCCAGACTTCTATTTTCTTGCATCCTGGCACATTTATTACAGCAGTGTAATTGCTATTACCATCTTCTTTGCATGGATAAAGGTATTTATATCTTATTTGACACAACAGAAAAGGTATTATTATTAAATATCAAAATGGGAACTTAAACTACAAAGCCATAAAAAAGAATATTCTTGACTTTTAAGTAATTTTAAAAGGAGTTTGGCCTTGTAATGATTGCTGGCAAATCCTCAAATATTCCTATCATTAAGTACCTCCTTTAATTTGAAACAGATTTCTCCGAAAGTTAATTTAACTAAATTTTAAGTAATTATAGTATTTCACATTCTATTTCAATTAAATTTGCTTTCAGATATTCAAATTCATAAGCTTCAATAAGACCATGTTTCAGCTGTCATCAACTTTGTCCCGCTGCATCAGAGACATAGTAGGATTTGCCACCATGTTTTTTATCGTCCTCTTTGCTTATGCCCAGTTAGGGTTCCTTCTTTTTGGATCACAGGTTGACGACTTTTCCACTCTTCAAAATTCCATGTAAGCTCTTAGTATAAATGTAATTATATTTTCCAATTTATAACAAAAAACCATGGAATGATCTATGATAAGTAGTAACATAAGCTTTAATAACTTAAATGTGGTTTATTTTCACTAATGGCCAAATACATCATACTCAAGGAATGGTTAGGCATTGAAAGAGCCAAATGGATAGTGAAATTGGTGTTTTAAGAGTTACTAGGTCAAACTGGAAAAATTATTTTCATTTCTTAATTAAACACAACTCAAGGATAAAAGACCAAGTTAAATACTGAAACAGAACCTCTTATTCTCCAATCCCAAAGAGGAAAAAAACATCTGATTTGTTGTGCAATTTTGGTTTCCTTGCAATTCAGCATTTCTCTTTTTATTGTATATAAAGAACATTACAAACCAGTATTAAAACCCGGATAAGTATTTTACGTATGATTTAATACGATCTTAAGTACTGGGGATGAAATTCGAGATAACTTTTGAGTCCTAGGACTCCCAACTAGCTGATTTCTTTGAAAATATTTTACTCCTTCATTGTAGATAGCTCATGCCCCTTTTATGTGATTGGCTGAAGCAACAAGAAACAAGAAGCATTCTTCCCTTTGGGCAATCATGCAGTATCTATACACCTTTAAAAGTTCCTTCCCAGGTTTCCCCTTAAAACAAGGAACTCACACACGTAATTTATAACATGCCCCTGGTGCATGTGGCGTTACCACTGCAAAGTGATGATGAGAGAATAAGACATTGGGGTAAGAAACTCTAATTCTACCTCTACTATAACTGTGCTCATTCAAAGCCTTCATTTCTTAATTTTCCATCTTTAAAATTAAGGAAATGAAGATTTTAAATATTTTTAAGTGCTATTGCTTATCAAAATCAAGCTTTTATAGTTACTGAAGAGAATAAAATAAACTCATGTTTGAGGAACATTACCAGCATTTGGTTGAGATTTAGCAAGTGACAAATTGTTGGTATCATTATTATAAAAAGAGCGAAAATTAAACATATCAGATATTATAAGAAACTTGAGGGCTCTTGGGTCTAGGTACAAGTTGAAAATCACTTACTGGATGAGGTCAAAGTACTCTTAAGTTTTACAGGGCACAGGAATAACTAAAAAGTCCACTGCTGAGATCAGTTGGTAAAAAGATCTCAAGGTTCAAATCTTGTAGGTAAACATTGGGTTCACAGTGAAGCCCAACATTTAATAAATTGAAGCCCAACATTTCCTGGACAACCTGTTAAGTTATTGAGGTACCTCAGGTCTGGGCTTCAGGGAATTTTCTACATCTGGCTTTATAGACCTCTATGTTAACATAACTAAAGCCAGAGAGCAAATGCCAGACACAGCTGAATACTTCCTGGACACACTAGTAACCCCCATCAGTTGTCATGTATGTATAAAGGGATATACTATTTTCTAATGTTTTCCTTTCTTCCCAAAGATTTGCACAGTTTCGAATTGTTCTTGGGGATTTTAATTTTGCTGGTATTCAGCAAGCCAGTCCTGTCTTGGGACCCATTTACTTCATCACCTTCATCTTTTTCGTGTTCTTTATCCTGTTGGTAAGAATGACCATGCGTTCGCTTTTATGCTTCCATTTTTTAGAATAAAAAAATTAACAATTCAGAAGAAATTTACGGTATCACTGCTTAGATGTCAGAACACTTTACAGACTTAAGAATGGTGCAGATTCCTAGTATCCAGTGTCTGAATATTTTTAAGTTGTTTTATGGAGAATGTGATCACCATAGTTACCATCTGGGTGTTCACTGTGTGCCAGAAATGTGCTAAATCTTTTACAAATGTAACTCAAATGTCCCAGGTCCCTTGAGCCACAGACATTCCATACCAGCAGGTATGAATTAGACCATTAATATTCTGCCCATATTGCAATGGCTTTGGCCCTCAGAGATGAAAGTTCACACCTGTGATTTTTAGGAGTCCCCAGGACGTGCTCCTGACCTCCATGAAAACGTTTGTTGTTATAGCCAGAAGTCTTCACAGTGACATAGCTGGGCCACAGTGAAAGCTGGAGAGGTGGGCTGTGGGTAAAAATACCCCTTCCACAATCGTTTGCGTTCTCTGAATAGTAGCAGTCTAAGAGCCACAGTAAAATTTGCATTTAAACAGCTACTTAGAATTTTTTTAAAAAGCCCACCCTTATAAAACATATAATTTACATTAATAAGTTTTCTTCTGATATGTAATATTGATAAATTAATGTATATACAAGTAACCAGTTCATATGCACTACTTTAAATTCTGCTTATTTACCATAAACATACCTGCCCAGGCCCACACACTACACAGCAGTACTCTACTCTATTAGCATCTTCTTAGTCATTTGTTACTGACCATAGGAATTACTTTTAAATTTTAAATCTAGTTTCACAAATCCCAGCACTTGTCAAAGTCACTAACATTTAAATTTTTATTGAAATAATTATTTAAATATTTCCCTCAGAACATGTTCTTGGCAATAATTATTTATGCCTATTCTGAAGTGAAAACCGATTATTCAATAGACAGAAGGCCAGATTTTGAACTCGGTAAAATGATTAAAAAGGTACGTCAAATTCTTTTCCTACTTAGAATTCTAAGAGAAATCTTGTTCAGTTTATACACTTGTAGTTTGAGTAACATTTAAACCCCCAAGTGACAGGGAGTTTGGGTTTTGTTTTTGTGGGGGCGTTTTTGGTGGGGGGGTTATTCCTATTTGTATTAACTGTGGCCAAAATCATTTCAGAGTTTAATGTATCAAATAGTAATTGCAAATACTAAGTGCAAAAGCGCTGAATAGGAGTATATTTCAATGTGCATGCTGGCAAACCTGTAAACAATCTAAACTGAGAACTCCAGATGCCTTTCTTCCTCCCTTTCCCACATCTGTTAATGACAATACTCGCTCCTCAATCACCCCTGGCTCGAAAACCTGTAATTTATTTCCTTGCCCCTTACTCGATCTGTTGCCAAGGCTTGTACGTGACATTCACCTCTGTAGTCTTTGCTCATGTTTGTGGAACTCAAGGACACTTCAAATTCTAACTGCCACCACTAACCTAGGGCCCTCAGCACTTTTCACCCAGCCTTCTGTATAGTAACATCTTCTTACCTGTTCTAGCCTCTTTCTGGCACCAGCTCATCTCTGAGCATATCACTTCTCTGCTCAAAATTCCTCAAAGTTTCCCTGGGCCTATCAAAATAAGTCCAAATTCCTTGCTCAAACATTCAGGGCCCTTTTAAAGTCTCACAGTCCCAAACTATCATAATTCACTATCACCTGACTACAGCATTTCTACTTCCTATGCCTTCATTTATAGCATGGTACATGCCGGCCAGTGTTTTAAGCACAGTGCTATATACCATGCTTGCTCTCTCTCCTCTGCTCATACCATTCTCTGACCCCAGGTATGTTCCCTCCGCTCTTTCTCTCTCTGACGTTATCGTCTCCCTGACAGAGTGGAATCTTCTCTGCCTGCTTGACACTTAGCTCACTTTGGGTCATAGTAGCATTATGTGCATACATACCATGCTGCCCACCTCTGCATACCCTCAGCTTTGCACTTAACATAAAAAATGTCCTAATGGCTGTGGGGTGTAAGAACTCTGTCCAAGAACTCATCTGTAAAAGAAAACTGTTAATATGCCCCTTACTGAGTATCCTTGTGGTTTCCTCTTTTATCTCAATTATAATGTTGGTTATATGCATTAAAGTCTTAACACCTTTACTGCAATGTTAGTAACACTTTTTAAAGATTTTTCCCCAAGTTCAGGTGTGATGTCCACAGGAGAATCCCTTTTTCTTTTCACCAGCAGGCAGAACCCATAGTGTCAACAAACTGAAAGGAGGATAATCATATCATTTGCTTTACCTTTCTTTAGAGTAGCAGTCCCTAGAGATAAGCACTTACGTCCTTTACCTGAACCAAAAGTGAATATAGGATATATTTTTGGTGACTTTTTAAACTATTTTCAATTATGCCCAGTGTTACAACAATGTCCTCGAAAAACTCAAACTAAAGAAACCTGAAAAGGATGAAGACGATAAAGAGTAAGATGACTTTAAATTTTTAATTTACCATTTTAAAGCTCTATATTGTATGAGAAACTTACATTGAGAGTAAGGCTTTGATAGCAAAACCACCACCATCCAAAGTACTGACTCTGTCTTGAAACTGTAAGCTAATGTGAAAATAACATAAGGCGTGCCATGCTACTAATAAAGCTTAACAGAAGGTGGGCAAGAGAGTCAAGTCCCTTCAAAAAGGTAGGAAACAATTTCCTTCTACATTAGGTACACTCATTTAGCTACCGAAATAAAACCATTTTACACAAAATAATTAATAATACACTTACCTTTATTATTTTGTTGTCAAAATACTTCCAAAACCCACACCTCTGACAATGGGATATTGTATAAACAGTTTCTTATAGCTAGAGATGTGAGTCTCTGGATAACTTATCAATAACCACATTTTCCAAATTAGTGTTATCAGAAAGAACAGAAATACAATTCAGATCTTTTCCATAAATCTGACTGTACTTTATGCTGGCACTTCCTTTTTTACTAACATATGCCTCTAATTTCTATTTTATACTCAGTATAAAAAGCACAGATTTGGCTGAACAAGCCAGAAGAGAAGGCTTTGATGAAAATGTAAGATTTTAATTTTCTCATAAAGAATTTATAGCTTTATTAGAAATATGCTCATAGCCCTGGCTGGTGTGGCTCAGTGGACTGAGTACTGGCCTGCAAACCAAAGGGTCACTGGTTCGATTCCCAGTCAGGGCACATGGCTGGGTTGTGGGCCAGGTCCCCAGTTGGAGGCATGCAAGAGACAACCCACACACTGATGTTTCTCTCCCTCTCTTTCCCCTCCCTTCCTCTCCCTCTCTCTAAAAATAAATAAAATCTTTAAAATTAAAAAAGTACGCTTACAAAAACATTCTGATTAAAACTGAAATTTCTTTTTTCAGAACAGTAGTTGCCACCTCCAACTATTTCTCCCAGAATCCCGATGCTTGTTTAGGACAAATCATTTGGATTCCAGATGCTCCCTCTTTCTTATTGCTGCTCTTAGCCAGACACCCTGGTCCTAAAGCTGTGTACTCACTGTGGGATAATCACACAGGGTTTAGAGAGTATACTCTATTGAGACAATTATATAATTTTCCTCTTGTAATCTTTAATGTGATAAATTACTTCAATAATTTTTTATACTTCAAAATTGTAACATACTCAACAAATGACTCAGTACATATGTGTTTAAGAAATAATTATAAAGCACACGATATACACAAGGAAGAAAATATAAGCCAAGGATTTTTATATCTAGCAAAGCTGTACTTCAAAGCTCAGTTTCTTTCTTTCTTTTTTTTAAAGATTTTATCCATTTATTTTTAGAGAAAAAGGAAGGGAGAAAGAGAGAAATATCTATGTGAGAGAAAAACGTCAACCAGTCACCTCACCCCACACGCACCCCAATGGGGACTGCACCTGCAACCCAGGCATATGCCCTGACTGAGAACTGAACCAAAGACACTTTGCCTCGCAGCACAATGCCCAACCAATTAGCCTTACTGGTCAGGGCTCCAAGAGTTTTGAACATGCAAGAAGTCAGGTAATACTGTTGAATTCCTGAGAATTCTACAAAAGGGTCAGGTTCACCCAACCAGGAGATGACTGGAGACATTTTGCAAAAAGGAGAAGGTATAAAGTAGAAAAAGCTGATTGGTTCATTTTTAATAGCTAAAAGTCTAAAAATTATCATTGTGTTAATAATCAAGAAGGAGAAACTTTAGCATATTTAAGAGTACAATAATAAGAAAAATTGTACTTAATAATTAAAAAAAACTTTTTTTCACATTTTAACCTCTCTGAAATCAAGTAGCACCTTATGGTTAACGGTATGTCATACTTTAATGGGCAGCATTTTTACTAAGTGGTACATAAAATAACAGTATGTCTTATAATAGACTACCTCTCCGATACAAAGAAATATAGTAACATGATTAAAAATATAACTGGGACCCTAACCAGCATGACTTAGTTGGCTGAGCATCACCTCGAAAAGCAAAAGGTCGCCAGTTCAATTCCCAGTCAGGACACACGCCTGGGTTGCAGGCCTGGTCCCTGGTTGGGGCGTGTGGGAGAGGCAACTAATCAATGTTTCTGTCCCTTTCTCCCTCCCTTCCCTCTTTCTAAAAATAAATAAAATATTTTTTAAAATTAAAAAATATATATAACTGTGTAGTAGAGAGGAAGGAGATGAAGAGGAAGAAATTACAAGCTAATTTTCTTGTTGAACTTGTTTGGTTCCTTGCTGAGGGAACCACAGCAAGAAAGGAACCATGGGGCATAACAAAATACATGAATAAAAACAAAAATACCTGAAAGGGCAAAAGTACCAAAACGAAAAAAGAGAACAAAGTATAGCACATAGTAAAAGACATAAAATATAACCATAAGACAGTATGATACAACCATGACCATATATGACATATCAGTAATGGCAAAATAGAAAATAGGTCAAGAAAAATGAAAGGATAAAAAGAAACCAAAACAATATAATGAATAGGCAATCTTACATATGTATTAAACTCAAAATACACCTTCTTTTTGAAAACCCATTCATTAAAAATGATCATATATTGGGCCACAAAGAAAACCTCAATGAATTTCAAGTAGTAGTTAATATAGAAAAAAATTCTCTGAAAACATAAAAATATATTAATGAAATTAGAAAATAAAAAAATTGAAGGCCCTGGCTGGGTAGCTCATTTGATTGGAGCATCATCCAGTGACAAATCTCCAGCACCAAACTTCACAAACCACTTATAACATGTTTGATCAGTCCCAGGACCTTCTTCATACACTGCACACATCTTCTTTTGTTTCGGATGTTTTCACCTTTCTTGAAATAATGAAGCATAATATGCTGAAATGTTGCTTATCTTCTTCCATCTTCCATCTTAAAATGGCTATCCAAAAATTCACAAATTTTGATTAAGTTTTTTGTTAAATACATGCTGATATGGCAGCTGACACAACACAATCTAACAAAAATGTTTCAAATGAAGTAAAGACAACTAAATGCTAATAGAGCCATCACATGGGAAAAAAACTAAACAAACTTTTTGGCCAAAATAAATTATTGTTTTCCTACTCCTTTATTGAATTCTCTCATACATTTTTCAGTTCATTGTACACCTAGAAAATTTAAGGGAATCACAGAGGTCATCACTACCATTTCCTTTTTAATTGTTATATATTCTAATTTATTTCCAAAGACATACAAATGGTCATCAATAGGTACATAATACAGGTGCTGGAGAGAACTTCTATCTGCAGAAGCAATGCTGAGAGAAAAAAACAAACTCTAGTCTCCTCCATCTTCTCATAAGGAGGAACCTAACAAATCCAGTACAAAGGTCTGGGGAATAAGTTCTCAAAGCCTGAGGCACAGCATCACAGAGGAGAGAGTATACGAGGATAAATTTTGAGTTGAGAGACATTAGCTACATAATTGGCCCAGTTTGCCCTTTTGGCTATTTACTACACACATTTCAACTTCCATAAAATGCAGTAACTACATCAAGTTTCCAACTAATTAAGATAGAACTATCTTTTATACAAATGAAGGTACTCATTCTTTCCCCAAAAAGGGTGAAGCAAAATCCCAATAGTAATTGTATCCATCCTCTATGATATTAATGCCTTTTCTACTCAAATAAAAATTCCTTAAGAACTTGATGTATAAACTACAATGTTTATTTTTGGACATGAAGTATTAGGAGCACCACACCACCCAAGATTTTCCAGGCTCCAAATACAGCCCTCTCTGAACTCATCTTGTGGCAGCAACCAACTTGCCCTTGATAATTAGGATCAGTCACCTCAGTCAGTACAATTTTTGTCTCCTGGGTCAGTAGCTTGAGGGATCCCCAATGGCCAGGTGGTAGTCTCAAATTCTTAAGTCAATTGTTTGTGTCCTTGGTGGGAGCACGCTATTTATGCACTTGTTCCTCTGGCCCTCCCCAGCTACTACCAAGGACTCATCACTTAGGGTCCAATCACACTAGGTAGTTTAAAAGTAGAAACACACAAGGGCATTTAAAAGGAGGAGGTTTGCTACAAAGAATTCATTTCTGAGGTATTAGAGACTAAGAGCCAATGTGGAACACTAAGTTAACCCAGACACAACTGTAAAAGGCAGCAAACACCTACAGGAAAGAGGTGGGATGATTACAATCTAGGAGCTTGAAAGAAATGTCCCAAAGAGATACTGCTGTGTCTACTATTTTCCTATGACTGTCAAGGGAGGCTTTCAGAGATCAAGTGATGGTTGAGATGGGTTTTTTGAAAGATGAGTCAAGTTTATCAGATTCAGTCTATTCAATGTGTATTGCTAATGCTTCCACATTATAATAGGCCTGGTCACTTTGAAATAGTTGTGGGACCTAACCACTTATTAAACACATTAAAAGTGCTAGTAAATATGTCAAAATGTGGGTGTTCTATTGTGGTTAAAATAAAAGTAGAAAGACTGAAAGCCATCCTTTTCTACTTCAAATATGTTAGAGTAAAGACAAACACTGTCTGATAAATAGTTTCTCTGGCCAGAACAGCACACATTTATCAGGCAAACAGTGCAAACTTAGGCACCACCATGCACTCTGAGAAAGGTAGTGAGAGCCTATATACAGAGATCCACTTTGCCACTTTGCATTACTGCTGGAGCAGGCAGTATCATACTCACTTACTGACAAGTATTTGAATCACAACTGGTTGCACTTTCCTCTTTCCCTCTCTTTCCAGAGCTGCTCTTATTTCCCACAATGTACAAGGCAGTTTTTCTAAAGTTGGGGAAAAGGTATTTGGACACTAAAGGAGAGTGGGTGGTAGTGAGGCCAAAGCACAGGAAGGACTGTTTAGGATCAGAGGAGGATGTAGTAAGAAGAATTTTCTGGTACGAGGAGCCCATACACGGGTAAGTGGACAGAATGCAGAGCCCAAGGTGATGCAGTAATTATGAGGAGGGGATTGGGATGGTTAGGTAAGACTGCAGGAGTCTGGCTGAAAAGCAATTGGGTGAGCAAATACCCACAAGATATACTTTGAGCACACTTGCTTCATTCCAGAATAGAGGTACAAAAATAGCTCTCACCAAGTACAGAATGACAGAATGAAGACAGTCATGAAACAAGTCAGCTGGAGATGCAGAGGGGAGGACGCAATGAAATGAGAATAAGCTGATAATTATAATTTTAAAATTCCCCAACTCTGCCAACAGTCCTAACTAACACCAGGCCCTCTGAAGGGACTGCTGATGCACAGACCTGAAAACTGGCAAGGCAAAAAGCCAGTGGGGCTCAAAAGCACAGTCCTGGAGGGTATAGTTTCAGATTCTCCAGCTTGTGATTGTGTGACAAACCTGAAATAGAGAAAAATGTAAAGATTGCAGCCTGGGCTTTTCCTCTAACTTGACAGGAGATTCGAAGTGCAGAACAGATGAAAAAATGGAAAGAGAGGCTGGAGAAAAAGTATTATTCTACAGAAATTCAAGATGACTACCAGCCTGTCACTCAAGAAGAATTTAAAGAGTAAGTATTTGGGATACATGGCACCAGGACTGGGGACTTGAGTTACACACATTATTTTCCTGAACCCAAAACCTATTCTGCTAAGATGCCACTTTTGTTTTTCATTTTTTTTTTTAACCCAACTTTAAACAGAAAGCCACAAGGCTTCACTTGTTTAAATGTAAGAGTGAGACCAACTACTTTTACCCTTATATCTCTAAATAGGAGCTGTCATTCATACTTGGTATACGTAGCAAATACTGTTCTCCAGACAACTTTAGAAAATTTGATCCCTAACTGACTAGGCATGTGGTAGGAGCTTCAATACGACCTTTCCATTCAAAGCATTTCACAACAGGCACTATTAATCTGCTGTCTCTTCATGCACAAATGTGCTGACTCACTCTCTGCTTCTTTCTATGTTATCCTGTAGCCTGTTTTTATATGCTGTGGAGCTGGAGAAAGAATTACACTACATCAGTTTAAAACTCAACCGAGTGATGAGAAAGGTCTCGGCTCTACCCTACTGAGTCAAGTGGAGGTGAGAATCTGTGATGCAGTCATTGCACATTTCTAACCATGATTCATTCTGGACTGAATTATTTCCTGAACTTACCCCCATTTCCAGTATACTTTAAAAGCACTAAGCCACCTATCATCAAACTATTGCCAGAGTCACTGATAATCATCGAACGAAGTCCAGGACATAAGTGCCCCAGAATGGGATCCACTGTACAACCCACACATTTTACAACATGCTTCTAACACATGGGTTCACACAGAGATTTCATAATAAATTATTATTAAATTCTAGGAATGTGAAGATAAAGTAGAAAATAATACTGTCTTTAGTTCATGGGGCAGGTCTCTAATTAATAGTTCAGTAAGCAGGCAAAGACAGTTTTCCCAATGCTCCAGAGTGGAAGAACTGTTCGTGCGCTCACCATGCACCATATTCCAACTTCCTTTAACCAGGTAACAAAACCAGAGGAATCTGCAAAGCCATCAGACAATGGCTCAAGTAAAATAACCTCACCTCCATTCTTCCCAATCTGAAGTCTCCTATGAAAAGCCAGTGTTAAAAGAACAAACTTTCCAACCACCTGTACAAATTTTATTAATCTCTTCAAACTGGAAATTCATCTAGACAGTTTCTAAAGTAACACATCTAAAGTTTCCCAAAAGTGCTTCCTCAACCACTTTAAAAGTTAAACATACTTTAAAAAATAAAGGGCAAGATAAGAGTGTCAGGGTTATACAAAATCAAGTTATGTTAGAGAAGTACAAATGAGGACATGGCAAAAGCCCCTGGTTAGATGGTTAGAAAGTTATGTATGTATAGTTGGCATTTTGGAAACTAGAAGGAAACTCTTGAGGTTTCAGAGGCCTCCTAAAAGAACCTTTTGTTCTCTTAGCCCAAGCCAACAGCATCTGACCATAGTACTCAACTTCCACAGCACTGCCCAGTAATCCTTGGATTTTAAAACTTAAATAGAGGAAGCTTTAAATCTACCCACCTTCCTCAGGCCAAGCTCTTCTCTTACACTATACATCAAGTTTTCTTAATAGGAAAATTCACTGCAACGAGAAATGCTGACTGTTCGTTCTCTGTGCACCTTCTCCCTACATTCCCACAAGGTAATCAACAACATGGCCTCTCCCTGTCTCGCCACTCCCCAGAGCTGTAGCCAGCCAGGTGGTTCACTAACCCTGTTATCCCCTCATATAGGCCCAGGTTGGGATAATTCAAACATAGCCTGAGAACACTAAGACACGGGAACACGAAGTTTTTTCTTTTTAACATCTAGAGGAGAAAAAACAAAACAAAAAAAAAAGCAAACATTTACAATGACTTAGAACATTCAAGTTCTTTTATTATAAAAGTCTATACAATCAAGTGCCAGACACAGCAATGCAAATATACTGGTGGTCATATATATCTATATATTGTTTGTATATAGATATACAGCTTTTACTTGTACCAAAGTAAAACTATCACAAACTGCCTAATTCTACCACCTATTGCTCAACTACGACACACAATACTGTCACACAGCGTAAGTGCTGCCATGCCACTTTTATCTATTCTATTCGCAGCCAAACATTAACAGTGGATAACCAACATCATGAAGCAACTGTTAATTTTAAAATGAAACCAGTCAGGCCATTGACTTATAAAAATATGGTACTCATATAGATTTAGCATTATAAAGAAGGAATATATTATTTAAACATTTAAATAGTGCATATGGACATTTTTGCATGTGGTATATAAAATAAAACATTCATATAAAACAATATACAGCGCACATTAAATTAGATGTTTGAATATACTCCTGTCAGGAGACTGACAGAAATTAACTAAATGTACACTGCATGATGGAGTCAAATCAAAGTGATCTTTTGGCATTTTCAATTTCACTTTTCTAGGTATATGTTATAAATAACCTAGCTGTAGCAAAAGTAAACCACACGAAAAAGGTTGGATTTAGTGCTTTATTCCCCAACTACATGATCACTACCAATGAATATTCCCTCCCCACAAAAAAGGCATTGCACACACAGGTGAAATGTGAAGTACTAGAAATGCTACTTATTAAGCTACTTCATATGCTTACTATGTAATAGCCAGAAGTCTGAGGTTCATGCTTCCCCCGTCTTATTAAAGGATGTGGCAAAAGTCCACTTTGTATGGAACAAATTGTTAACATTAGCTAGTTAAGAAAACCATGCATGAGTCACTGCATGCAAAACATGGGCACAATCAAAGTGAGACACTCATCAATCCAAAAAAGCACCAGGAAAAAAAGTAATACTTAGATTAAGCCTGACCAAAATATGCTATTAATGCCTGTTATGTTGTTAGCACAAATAGAGTCACCGTTCTGTGAAAATGGTTAGCAGAATACCAGGAGAGAACCTGAAAACACGCCATGCAAAGCCAAAGAAAAAAAAGACCTGCTTACAGTATATGACAAGGGGCATACCACTACCCATCCTGTGACCAGCTGCTTTAAACAGCCTGTGACTGAGTAAAAGGTGGCCCCTTTAAAAGATGTTTTATGGTTTTTGCTGATTAAGAGGAAAAAAAAAAAATGTAACCCGCCCCCATGAAGGTATACAGAAAAATGCAGTGGTATAGCCCTTGTTCAGAATAGATTTCTTCAGGCATAATCATTCTTCTGCCAATGCCGGCCCATTTGATTGAACACACAAATCTGAGTCCCATCAGAGTTCCTACATACTGACATGGCTATTTTCTCACATTACTGGAGGTGGGTAGGGTGGAAAAAAACAGAGGAAATGATCCAGACAAAGTACATCACCACCAACTGATAAACAGTAACTAAGAAAGCAAACAGTAACAAATCCCATAGGCAGCATGTGGTATGATTCAGTTTTGTGTGTTATGTGTGAAATGTGTTTTCACTACAGAAATAAGCAAGGTCACTTTTTGGTCTACCTTCTAGTTATCTTGAGCCAGGAACAGTGTGACCAATGAATTGCAAAATTTTGCTAACATACTACCTGTGAAAAAGTGTCACTTTGAGAATTAAACAGAAATGTGTTCCACAATAGGACTTGAAATTTCAGTTGATTTTGGTTTTCTAGGAAAACATAGAACATAGTTGCATGTGTGCACATTTATAGGCTTTTCTTTCATATTTTCAGTCATTCTGTAAGAAAAAGGCAACGGAAGAATTCAATGTGAAGATTTCTTCTTAATTTTCTTCAGTAATGACAAAAATAATAAAGTTGGAAATAACAAAAAGCTTATACTTCCAAAGTTCTTGAAGTTGAAAGGATAAAATACTAGTCTTTTGCTAACAGGATGTATCTGTGGTACAAAACAATGAAGAAAACTGGATGTTTGTTAAAGGTGGAGAGGACAGTCTGTGTTAATACGGACCATGTGCTCCCTAGAGAGGGTCTACTTACCCCTCATTTCTCTAGTGGTGCCACAACCAAGTTACAAAATGAACTCAAGTACCAGCCAAGTACACACGGCGATAGCTTAAGGGAATACAACTGATTTTATGATGTATCAAGGAGCCTATTTTATATGGATTTTGAAGAATCTTGTTTGCTGATAAGAACTTCAAGAAGCCTAAGCTTGGCTTTAATTTTCTTGTACTCCCTGTATTCCTCAAGCACTGGGACACGATCCTCTTTCTGGGCATTCCTAGGGGAGAAAATAAAATGTGTAATATTCTAGAGATCATCTGGAAAATAAAATACCAATTGTCCTAATGTGAGACAATGTTACCAAATATAAATTCAAATTTTAAAAATTGCTTTTTAAGATTGTTAGACTAATTCCCTCCAACTCCAAGGAACATTCCTGAACTACTTCTATTTTTGATGAATTTCTCTATTGCTAGATTAAATGGTACTATATTTATCAATGATCACTGCAGATAACTAGAGGTAATATTTCAATAAGACATTCATTGCTAGACTCTGTCAGGTCTGTGGATGCATATTAAGTGCTAGAGGGCTACAATGAGTTATTTCATACATTAACTGTAGCTTCAGTGAATTGAGATGTGAAAGTATAACATCTTACCTGTGGTAGCAAGTAAGTAGTTTCCTCATTTTGTATTATTAATGACCCAATGTAATTTAGTTTAATCACTAAACGCTAGGTAAAGCATCAAACCATCTTAAGTAGTATAAGAAAAGTTTTCTTCCAATAAGACAAAGAATTAGAAGGTACTTGAAAAACCCATTCCTGTACTTGAGATTTTTTAAACCATTTTTGCCAACCTATATAGAGGACTCAATAGCCACTGGCTGGTAAGACCACCCAGTTACAGGGAAAAACTCTTCTGAAACCTGAGATAGCCCTCATTTCTGGCTATCATTTGCATTAGAATATATTTTTATTTTAAAAAGAGTCTCAAAAAAAAAAAAGTCTCGCCAGGTGAACCATGCATGATGCAGTTAGATAAAGACAACCTGTCATATTGTATTATAGGAGCCACATGACTGCCACCGTGTTACCTTGGAAATATGCAGCCTGGAATGAACAACAGCATACGGCCTAAGCAATGATGGTCTCAATATAGGAATCCAAACTAACTAAAGATAAAACTCATGTTATGGGACCCTTTCTAAAATGAGAAACATTTCACAAACACTTCCCAAAGGGTGAGGATATAGTGTAAAAGAACATAAAATAGTTGCCACTCAACCAAGCCTTCCTAGGACAACCTTGGATTATTTTATCAGATGTTGTTTAACTCCAGTTCTGACTTTTCTTGCCATTAATAGCAGGGCTTCAACATATAAAATAATGTTTTTTACTTTTATTTTCAATGCTAATATCCTTATATGCACAATTTATTTCTGTTCCTATATATTTGAACTGATGGGAACTTGTGAGTTTAAGGAGAAAGAGGACTCAGTTTTGTGATGGTCAACAAACCTTCCGTTTTGTTGATAAAATGCTTCTTCAAAATCCCTTAATGTTTTACGCAGTTTCTTTTTTTCAGCTCTGGCTTTCCAAAGTTGTTCCAGTAATTCAGGCCTAAAATTGAAATA